CTGGCAAGTGACTGACACTGCTGAGCTTTCCTCCTCCTAGCTTCAGCTCCATGTCCAGAACACTATGGGCCTGCTCTGCAGCCAGAGCCAGCACCAGAGAAAGAGCCTCCTCTGGAGACAGGAGAGAAGCAGAAGCCAGCTCCACAGCACTCCTGCCTCTCTGCTGCCAGTGACAAGGACAGGTCCTTGCAGAAGGTGCTCTTAGCCTTCTCTCCCAAGCTGCTGGCAGAGCAGTTGACCTTGATGGGTGCGGTGAGCAGCTGAGCTCTCTGGGGTGGGGTGGGGCGGGGGACACCCATCCTTCTCGCACTGATCTCCTCAGTCCTGACATTCCCAGTTTACCAGATCAAAGTTCCTTCTTCTACCAACCGCATCACCTATACTTGTCTCTCAGCCCCAAGCCACTCCTGTCCTTGGGTGGAGGTCGACAGTAGAGACAGGGCACTCACATGCCCACTTCACACAGTGACTGTGATGTCAACTGAGACTGGACAATTGGGAAACAGGGTGGGGAGTCAGACCAACTGGCCGAGGAGAGTGTGCACTGAGGTGCAGGCAGGAGCATGTGTCACCTTGCCATCATCCTAGGAGACCTGGCCAGCCTTATCACTTTGTAGGCATTTGAGATTCATGGGTTCTACAGCACACACCCACACAGGGCCCCCAGTCCTAGCTGTCCCAGGAAATGTGCCACTGACCTGGGCAAAGGAGCAGAGGGCAGGTGAGGTTGGAAAGAAGACAATACCTCAGAATGAGCAGGACTGAGATGTCTTCAACTGGAATAAATTTTAAAGTGGTTTTTTAATAATGTCACCCATAATTCATTCTTCTTTTATGGCTGAATTTGGGGCCCATATCATTTAACAATATTTCAGGTTAAAAACAATAAATAAATATAAAAGCCTTAAGTAACACACAAAGAGCTGGTTTCTTTGTTCATATCTGACATCTGACTTCAGGAAGGATTAAAAACCTTCCAGCATTCACCATGTTGTTCTTCTTCTTCAGACCTGGCTCCACTTCTGGGTTCTTAAGAATACCTTTCTCTTAACTCTTCCAGGATCCCCTTGGGCCATAGCAGTTCTCAGATGGTTTCCCAAGATGAGAAGTCTCGCATTTCCATCATTTCAAATAACATTTTTCATGTTTATTCTGATTGGGCTTTTTTAAATGATTTATTCATAACCAACCTGTGTAACCATGGAAATGACTATCCTTATTTGGTTTAATGCAAACAAAATCCACTCCTGAAAGTACATATTTGAGGTCTTGGGTTGAAGGTGAAGGTGTTTTCCCCAAATAACTTGGGATCTTCCTACAAATAAGCATGATAAAAAGAAATGACAGAAAACAAAGTGTCTGTTACAGAGTTCCAACCGACCCTGGGCATAATGTACACACCCCATCCTATTCCTAATACAATATGTTGCCTAAATCCTCACCTAATACAGTCCCAGCTTCTATTTTTTGTTGCATTTCTAATTCAAACATGTAGGTGTCACTTATACACATCCTTGACATCCACTCCTGATTCAATCTGAGATCATCTAAGCTGTAATAGCCCTGATATCCACACTATTCTTGATTATCACTATTAAATACTCATGTGAAATTCATATCTACCAGTGATGCAGGTATAAGTGACCAAAAAAGAAGTGAGGAAAGAAACTCAATTCAGAAACCCATTTGTGCACTCATACTGTGGTTATCAATGCTTCAAGGACCAAACTAATACTGCCAGCAAAACAGGGTATTGGAGCAGAATATTAAAATAAAGACTCATCATCAGTCCTCACACTCCCATTCTGTGCATCATAATGTGCATTACTGAAAAGAAAATTGTCTTCAATAAATTGTAAGGTTTTATGCTCTAAATATTTCATAGATTTCTTATAACAATTCTAGATCACTTATCAGAAATTGCATCCTTTTATGGAAACTACAGGTTATGGATTCTATCTGGATGTCACCCTCAAGCCCCTTGCACCCAGAGGTGAGGACTTACAGAGGGTGACTGGGTGATGGGGGTGCTACACCAGGCTTGGTGTCAGGATGTGGGCCTGGTTGGAAGAGGTGGGTCAGTGTGGGTGTGACCTGGGAGGGTGTATCTTGCTCCCTGGCCCACACTTTACCATGTGTCTCCTGGCCACCACCAGGCAAGCAGCATTTCTATCAATGTGCACCTCTGACATCCCATCCTGCCATCCTGGACCTGGCTAACTATGAATTTAAATGTGAGCTGAAACAAACCTCTCTTCCCTTAATGTGTAGTGTTGAGTATTGTGTTCAGGGACAAGAAAGTGATACAGATGTTGGTACAAGAAGTCTGGTCACTGCAGCGACTGTACCTCACCAGGTGGTTCAGAGGCCTGTGGAAGTGGTCCACAGCAGTTTGGAAAGGTTTGGAGATGCCAGCTGGAGAAGCAGCCCTAGAATGCTATAATCTGAGCTTGATGGAAGATTCTGGTCAGAGCTCAGAAGACCAGAATGTAGATAGACAGCAGATGATAAAGATCAGACTTACGAGGTGTAAGACCCAGGGCCTTACCAAATGCTCCGAGGAGCTGACTGCAGCGAAGAACACCCAGGAAGGGACAGACCGGACAATTTGGAAAGTAAAACAGACCTTTATTAGTCTGGCCAGAGGTCACTCCCAAAGCAAAGTAGCTTGGAGAGGCAACTGGCTCAGAGCCCAAGGCTGTTTTTATAGGGGGTTGCAGGGGAAATTAGCAAGAGAAAAAAATATTGATGGTCAAAAGATGTTTGCAGATTGTCTTATGGATAGCTGTGTCCAGAACATCGGTTTTGGACAAACAAGGAGTCGGGTAATTCACTTAGGAACTCTATGTTTGTTACAGATTTTATCTAGCTTCCCAGAACTAACAAGCACATTTTAACCATTAACTCACAATCACAATTGAGGCTAGGGGAACAATTGATTACTAAGTTATGCAGTCCCACATTCCCCACTGATTTTACAATCTAAGTAATCTTACATATAAATGTAGGCATCCATTGTATACAACAGCATGACAGTAATAAGCATATATACACAACTATAATGACAAGGAAAAGTTGTCTTAACCACTGTAGGTTGGGCAACCATTTAGTTAGCCACTTGAACAAGTCCCTGCCATCTTCATCATGTACTCTGAGCCAGATCTTCTAATTGTTTTACCTTTTCTTTAATTTTTGGACCATTATCGGTAAGATTGAAACAACACATATTTTTTATTCTTTCACAACCTTGGTGGTGGAAGAGCAACAAATAGTCTATTGCTGCTCTGTTGTCTAAGATTGCCTGTCTCTGTTCCTGTAACTCTTGGTTAATTAATGTTAAGGCTGTTGAGGTAGCATTTAATCCTTTGACCACCTTGCATGCTAGTTTCCATACTGCCTTTTCAGCATGGACTCCTATGGAAGGCAATGCAACAAAAGATGCTATCATAGTTATTACTTCAGCATCCGTCAACAGACCTACATCATCATCACATCCTGGTGCAGTGTAAGGTGACCAACGTTTAGTTCTGTCTGGCATAATCAAATCAGTTCTATCTGGTAAAACTACAGCCAAACGACTCAAGCAGCAATGGGTCTTGGTTAAATTGGCTGGAATATAATTGAAAGTTATACCCTCACAGGTATAAAACCATCCTGTTGGTAGGGAGACATGGCAAATGCCATATACAATTTTCTGTTTAACATGGCAGGGCATCCCTTCTGACCGTTTTATTTTTAGACACTTGGTTGTACAATTTTCATATATAGCACATTCGGTATTATTTGACATAATTACCTTGGGTGTATATAATTTGACAGCATTTTTAGGTTTATGACATGAGAGAGGTCCCCAATTATTACTATCTCTGTAAGTGAGATTTCTTTATCCTGGGAGGTCTTTAAACAGGGTATAGGGTCGTATTAATTCTAAAGAGGTGCATACCAGAATAAGACAGCTTCCCAGCACATAATGGAAATTTACATCAACATTTAAGCAGAATTAGACAAGTTAAGCAAGTTTGCCAATTGAATCCATACATTTTTTGTGTGATCTAGTCCTCTTTGGGACAATACTGCCAGTGTCCCAGAGAATATTATCATGAAGGCAAAACATCTCCAACCCGCTCCAATCTTAGCTTTTGGTCACCTGGTTGGCTGATAGCCTTCCATTTGTCCTTTTTGACATCCACGGGGGGGGTCCTGCTTTCAGATGGTTGTGATGTATCCAGGCAGAATGTCCAGCCACTTTCACTGCCAAGGGAGTTGACAGGACAACAGGAACTGGTCCCTTCCAATGAGGTTCCAGGGTCTTGGAATCAAACCTGTGAATAAAAACCAAATCTCCCGGCTTATAGGGTAAAGGTTGTAAAGGTTTTTCATTTGGACTAGTCATTTTCTTTCATAATGTCTCATGTAGCTCTGACTGAAGCTGATGAACTGCTTTTAAGGATTTAAGGAGTTGAAGGTGGGAAAACTTTTCCTTTAATTCTATATCTATTAATGGAATGATTGGGGGAGATCGCCCATAAACAATCTGGAAGGGGGACAGATTGAGGGGAGGTTTGGGAGTGCACCTTGTTTGGAGGAGGGCAAAAGGGAGAAGCTCTACCCAACCTAGTTCAGTCTCCAAGCATAATTTAGTCAGAATTTCCTTTATAGTTTGATTTGTTCTTTCTACCTGTCCTGAACTTTGAGGCCTATAGGCACAGTGTAGATTCCACTTTATTCCAAGGATATTACTAATTAATTTAGATATCTTGGCCGTTAAGGCTGGACCATTGTCGGACCCCAGAGCTAAGGGCAAACCAAAATGGGGAACTATTTCTGTCAGGAGCTTTTTAACTGTTATTTCAGCTGTCTCCCTCTTAGTGGGGTATGCTTCTACCCATCCTGAAAATGTATCCACAAAAACTAACAGGTATTTGTACCCATACATGCCAGGCTTCATTTCAGTAAAGTCCAATTCCCAATGTTCTCCTGGAGTTAATCCTCTGTGTCAGACCCCGGGCCCCCGATTACCCGATTTGCATTTACCTTGAGGCAGGTGGGGCATCGTCTCACCATGTTCTGGGCCTTTTGGGCTAAACCCTCGCTGATGAAATGAGGTCGCAGGGCAGCCATCATCCTTTTCTCGCCGAGGTGGGTGGACTCATGCAGTTCTAGCAGCAACGTATCTGCTACAGCAGCTGGGAACACCACCTTTCCATTCTTAGTCATCCACCATCCATGTTTTCCTCGAGTCCAGCATCTCCTGTTCATTTCCGCTACTTCTTTATCTGTGTATTCAAGTTTTTCTGGGAGTACTGGCATGGGAAGCAGAAACATTTGCTTCCCCACTGATTTTGGGGTGGCTTGTTTTGCTGCCTGGTCAGCAGCATTATTACCAATCATCTCGGGGCTAAGCCCCTTCTGGTGCCCCCGGAAATGGATGATGGCGACCTCTCGAGGCAACCAGATGGCTTGTAGCAATGCTAATATCTCAGTCTTATTTTTGATTTCCTTTCCTCCGGAGGTCAACAGTCCTCTATTTTGATAAATCTCCCTGTGTACGTGGGCAGTGGCAAAAGCATAACGGCTATCAGTGAATATATTTATCCTTTTTCCTTTTCCCTCGTTCTGGATTCTTTCACACTCCTCTGTTGTAAACAGGATCTGGAGGAGCTGCTGACAATCATCTCAAGTGGGCTGATGAGTAAACAAAACAGTTTCTAATAGGTTAATTAAATCCCTAGGGTTATTAGAGAAGTTGGCGTGTTGAATTCGCCAGTTACAGAGGTCACTAGTGGCAAAGGGCCAATAATGATGAGGCTGGTTGCCATGCTCATCAGGGGGTCCAGCCGCCCTTAATGGGAGGACAGTGGAATCTGTCCTCTCTTCAGCACCTCTTCCCCTCCTAATTTACAAAGGCTTATTTCCATTTTTTCCTTCTATTCTTTTCTTTTCCCTTCCTTCCTTTTCCCCTCCTTCCTCCCTAGTTCCCATCTGGACATTTTCTTCCTATTTCACAATATCTGTTACACATTTGGTCCTTATTTACCCTTTCAGTTTCTCACACCAGAAGAACCTGTGTGTCCAACTTATTTCACTCAAGAGTGTGGTCTTGGGCCAGGGATTTAGCTCAGTGGTGCCACCTCCTGTCCAGTTCGATCTCCAGTACCAACAGAGTATTACTTCATTGTATTCAAAAGCCACATCTTCTTTATCCATTCTTTGGTTGATGGGCATTTAGGTTGTTCCCAAGATTTAGCTATTACAAACTGCTGCTATAAACATGGGTAAGTACATATCACTGGGGCATGATGCTTTTAATTCTTTCCAGGAGATACCAAGAAGAGGCATAGCTGGGTCAAATGGAATCTCTAGTTTTAGTTTTTTGAGTTTTTTCCAAACTGATTTCCACAGTGGTTGCACCACTACACTCCCACCAACAGTGGAGAAGCGTTCCTTTTTCCCCACAGCCCCTCCAGCATTTGTTATTGGTTGATTTCTTGATAACAGCCATTCTTTCTGGAGTGAGGTGGAATCACAGCGTTGTTTTAATTTGGATGTCTCGAATGATGAGTGATGTTGAACATCTTTTCATATATTTATTTGCTGTTTCTACTTCTTCATCTGAGAAGTGTCTATTCATTCCAGATACCCATTTTTGGATTGGGCCTTTAAATTAGGTGGATCTGATTTTTTTAGTTCTTTATATATTCTAGGTAGTAGTCTTTTGTCTGAGGAATAGCTGGCAAAATTATTTTTCCCACACTGTGCATTGTCTCTTCACTCTGTTGGTGGTTTCTCTTGCCATGGAAAACCTTTTTAATAAGATGAGATCCCTGTTGTTGAATCTTTGTGATATTTCCTGTGCAATCAGGGTTTTCTTCATAAAGTCTTTGCCCATACCTATGTCCTCAAGAGTTCTACCTAGGGCTGGGGATTTAGCTCAGTGGTTTCACTGCCTGCTGCGCAAGCACAAGGACCCAAGTTCAATCCCCAGTACCAAAAAAAAAAAAAACAGTTCTACCTGTTCTATCTTCCAGTAGATTTAGTGTTTCTTTTTTTCTTAATATTTAGATTGTTGACCTAAATATTTAGATTGTTAATATTAATAGATAATAATATTATTAGATGATTATATTAATTATTAATAATCAATATCTTTAATTAGATTGTAATTATATTGTTAATTATTGATTATCTAGTATTATTAGATTATAATATTAATGATATTAAACAGATATTAATAGATAATTTATATCTTGATATTTAGATTGTTGATCCATTTTATTTTAGTACATGGTGAGAGGTACGGGTCTAGTTTTAATCTTTGGCATATAGAAAGCCAGTTTTTCCAGAATCATTTATTAAAGAGGCTATCTTTCTTCCAGTGAAGATGTTTGGCCCCTTTTGCAAAGGTAAGGTGGGTGAACGTGTTTGGAGCTGTTTCTGGATCTTCTAATCTGTTCCACTGATCCTCAGGTCTGTTTTTCTGTGAGCACCATGCTGTTTTTGTCATGGTAGCTTTGAAGTATAATTTTAAGTCAGGGATTGTGATGCTCCTGCCTTGCCTTTGTTGCCCAGAATTGCTTTTACTATTCTAGGTCTCATCTGGTTCCAAATGAATTTTAGGATTATTTTCTCTAATTCTGTAAAGTATGTTATTCGTATTTTAATTGAGATTACATTAAATGTGTATAACAAATTTGGAAGTATGGCCATTTTCACTATATTGGTTCTTCCTACCCAAGAACAAAAGATATCTTTCCATTTCCTGTTATCTTCTTCAATATCCTTTTCCAGAATCCTGTAGTTTTCAATGTTAAGGTCTTTTACTTCCTTCATTAGATTGATTCCTAGGTATTCCAATTTTTGGATGCTACTGTGAAAGGTATGGTTTCTCTAATTTCTCTCTGAGTGTGTTTGTTATTTGTATACAGGAATGCTATTGATTTTTGAGTGTTGACTTTGTGTCCAGTTATGCTACTAAATTGGTAACTAAGTCTACAAGTCTTTTGGTGGAGTTTTTGGTGTCTTCTATATAGAGTATCATGTCATCCTCAAATAATGATAAATTAACTTCTTCCCTTCCTATCATTATTCCTTTTATTTCTTTTTCTTGTCTACTTGCTCTGGCTAATGTTTCCAGAAATATATTCAACAAGAGTGGTGGCAGTGGACACATCCTTGTTTTTTTCCTGTCTTTAGAGTAAAAGCTTTCAGGGGTTTATTTTGTTGTTGTTGTTGTTTTTTAGCTTTCAGTTTTTGTCCATTTAATATGATGTTGGCTGTTGGTTTGTCATAGATGACTTTTATCAGATTGAAGTAAAGATCTATTTCAATTTTGATTTGGTTTTTTTTTACTTTCTTTTTTTTTTTTTTTTATACCGGGGATCGAACTCAGGACCTTTTGCTTACAAGACAGGCACAGTACTGCTGAGCTAAATCGCCAGCCCTTATCTGTTCCAATTTTCTGTAGGGTTTTTTTTTTTTTTTAAATCATGAATGTGTGTTGGACTTTGTCAAATGCTTTTTCTGAACCTCCTGAGATGATCATATAGTTTTTGTCCTTGGTTCTGTTAATATAGTATATTACATTTATTGATTTGGATATGTTGAACCATCCCTGCATCCCTGAGATGAATCCTACTTGGTCAGGGTGTATGATCTTCTTGATGATTTGCTGCATTCTGTTTTCCAGTATCTTACTGAGGATTTTTGCATCTATGTTCATTAGGGAGATTGGCCTGTAGTTCATTCTCTCTCTCTCTCTCTCTGTCTCTCTCTCCCTCTCTCTTTTTTCCTAGCTTCTGTAGGACAATTCAGCTGACTAAAGTTTAAGGGGAACACATTTCTTGCACATGAAGAACAATTACATGCTCCATCTTTCTGTAAATACCTCTTATTGGCTGGATTAACAAACATTTTCACAGACACATACACAAAAATGTCTAAAGCCATAGATCACCGCATTCATATTTACAAAAAGCCATAAAAAAACATGCATTTCTCCTTTATCAGGATGACTTAAATAGATGTCTGAACATTAAGGCAGTGACAATTCTAAAACAATGACAATCCAAGTTAAGGCTTTATGTTTGAAACTCATATTCATAGGCAACTGCAGCACACTTATCTAATAGGTTGAATTCATCTATCCACTCAAGTGTTACTGATCCATTCATCACCAGTTCTTTTGTATCAGACGGATGGGATAAGCATTAGTAGCAACACCAATCTACTTTAATAAATCATTGGTCCACTTCTTTGGTTTTGAGGATTTAGCTTTCAGCACCGAAGCCACATGCCACAGAAAGAACAGAGCATTTTGGGGTAAACTTAGAGACCTCACAAGCTGCACTGATTCTTACTTTCCCGAAAGCTAGCAACTATTACAAAGTCAGGACCTACTGGATACAGAAAACCGGCAAGGCATACTTGACCATGCTGTTGGTTCGAAACACAGAACATGTTCTTTTTTTCTGGTACCAGGGATCAAACTCGGGACCTTGCGCTTGCGAGCCAGGTGCTGGAACAACTGAGCTAAACCCCCAAGCCCAGAACATGTTCTTGAAGTAATAGGTTTCCACCTTCTCCATTTTCTTTGAAGACTATGTTACTCTTTAAATAAAGCAACAGTAGGGCCAGGGATTTAGCTCAGTGGTTCTAGCACCTGCCTTGTAAGCACAAGGTCCTGAGTTCCATCCCCCGTACCAATAAATAAATAAATAAAGCTACAGTAAGCAGAATACCACATTTTGGGTGGATTTATTGTATAACTGTTAGCCTCAAGGCACAAAATATATCTTTGAACAATGTGCTTCCTTATTCAAGGAAAAGATGAGTGGTATACGGAAGGAAAAGCCACTTTAAAATAATTGTAGCCAGGGATTTAGTTCAGTGGTACCATTGCCTGCCTCGCAACCACAAGGATCCGAGTTTGATCCCCATTACAAACAAAATAAAATAATTGTAGATGGCGCCCTTGTGCCATAAAGCTTAGAAGTGTGAAGTAGTGAAATCTGGGTATGGGAGGCAAAGTCCTTTTCTGCTCTTTTTCAGTATTCAGAAGGAAAACACTCAAAGGCAGCCAGTGGGCATGCTGTGGATGGGAAGCAGCTCTGGAGCCCACCCTGGCCTGCCTGGAGAGCAGGGATGTTTGTGGATGTGGTAACATGAAATGTACATTTGCTCTTCCTCCTTGGAACCCACATTCTAAAATCCTTGTAATCTCTGGAATAAGTGTTTGTTGTTGTTGCATGATAATGCTATCACTGGCAGCTGGTGGTCCCTAGATAGCTTCAGGATGGACTAGGCACAAGGGAGACCCAGCATGACTAGAGGGCTGGGCTATTCTCACTTTACTTCCCCCACAAGCCTTCAGGGAGGGGAAAGGGGCTGCAGGTTAAATTGATCGCCAAGGCCAAGAATTTAATCAACCACACCCATGCACTGAGAGATGTAGTTCTCTTTTTTGGTTGGATCCTTCTCTGGTTTTGGTATCAGGATAATGCTTGCTTCTAGGAATGAGTATTGCTTCCCTTTCAATTTCATTAAAGAGTTTGAGGAGTAGCAGGCATTAGATCTTGTGTAAATTTCTTGTAGAATTCAGTGGTGAATCCATCAGGACCTGGCTTTTCTTTGTCCGTAGGTTTTTAATTACATTTCAATTTCATTGACTGATATTGGGTTATTTCAAATTTTTATACCTTCTTAATTCAGATTTGGTAATTCATATGTATCTAGGAATCTGTCCATTTCTTCTGTGTTTTCCATCTTATTAGAACACAGGCTCTGGAAGTAGGCACTGGTGATCTCCTGGATTTCTGAAAGATCCATTGTGATTCCACCTTTTTCATTCCTAGTTACATGAATTTGAGTCTTCTCTTTCGTTTTTTTGATAAGGTTGGCTAAGGGTTTCAAAAAACTAACTCTGATTCATTGATTCTTTGTGTTGTTTTCCTAGTCTCCATTGCATTAATTTCTGCTCAGACTCTCATATCAGCTTTGGGCTTGACTTGCTCTTCTTTTTCTAGAAGCTTGAGGTTCATTATTAAGTTGTTTATTTGAGCTCGCTCTGTTTTTCTGATATGGGAATTCACTGCTATAAATTTTTCTCATAGGACTGCTTTCATTGCATCCCATAAGTATTGGCATTTTCATTTAATTGTAGAAACTGTCTAATTTATTAATTTTATCTGTGACCCATTGGTTGTTCAGGAGGGTATTATTTGATTTCTATGTGGTTTCTTTTGCCATTTATGTTCAATTTCATTGCACTATGGTCTGGTAATATGCAGGGGAGTAGAATAACAGGTGATAGAATCAGTGGTGCCATCATGCCAGTTTGGGGGTGCTCCTCCTTTTATGGGTCCCAGGTGAGAGAACTGCATCTAGTGTGGTTTTTTTGTTTTGGTTTGGGTTTTCTTTTTTTTTTTTTTGGTACTGGGGATTGAACTCAGGACACTGCACTTTCGAGGTAGGCGCTGGAACCACTGAGCTAAATCCCTGGCCCTGCATCTGCTGTGTTTGATAAACTCATGTCCATGGTTTTTCTGATATGATCTGACATGCTCACACATCCATGTGCTCCTAAGTAATCTCAATAAATTAATTTTCTATTGGCATGAATAAGTTATCAGTTTGTTCCCAGTGGTTATAGCATAATGATGTTCACTTAAACAAGGCTTAGAATCATTCTCAAATGACTTGTATGCAAATATAGTGACCAAGGTCAAACTATTACTTATAAAATGAAGTAACCCAGGGCTAGGTACAGCCTTAAAGTTAGTGTCCTATACAACATGAAGTAACTCAGAGCATAACAGGCTGCTTTTCACAAGCTTCTTCAGCCCAAGCACTTCTAGAGCCTATTTTAAATACAGAGACCATAAGGATCGAGTTTAAAACATCCAGTAATATTTTCCCTGTTCATGATTTCCAGAGACTCCCCATTCACCCAGGAAAGTAAAAAACCTGCACGACCTGCACCCCCATCCTTCTAGCTGTCCCCACCACTTCCTACCTCCCTAGAGCTCCATTCTTCCAGGTCCTCAAGGTTTGCACATTAGCAACACTGAGGATATGTCCTTGCTCTCCAGCATCTCGATTCCCTTTCTCCTGATCCATTAGCATCCCTGGGCTCACATCCGAGTGTTGTGTGTTTCTGGTCTGACACGGATAATGTTTTTTGTTTTGGGGTGGGGGTTTTTTGGTACCGGGGATCGAACTCGGGACCTTACGCTTTCAGGGCAGGCGCCGGAACCACTGAGCTAAATGGATAATGTATTCCATCACTCAGGAGACAGGAAGCCCAACCCTTCCCTTTTCCCTCTGACATCCAGAAGAGGGCATGACCCCTCCCCCATGCTTCTTGCCTCAAGAGTGGCCTGGAGCAATTATCCCAGTCTTTTTCTCCACTTCTACAGTTTTTTTCAGCATCCACCCTCTAGGTCACAATGACCCTAGCCCAGGCCAGGTGGACAGCAAGTCACACCTCCTCAGCTCTGGTGCTGCTGGCACCTCCCTGAGGAGCGGCCAGAAAGCCACACATAACAGGGAGCATATAGGATCAGAACCTACTGCCAAAGTCCCCGAAATTCCCAATCCCAATGGGCCATGATCAACACAGCCAGCCCTCCTAGAGACTCCTCAAAGGCAGCGGCAGTGGAAATATAAGAGCTGTTGATCAAGTAGCCATTTCTCCCGAAGTCCCAAAGAGCTTTTACCACTAGGCTTCAGACATCCTAGATCCCCAGTGGAAGTTCTGAGAAATAGTCGCTTTGGCCACAGCAGGCTTGGAACACAGATGACTCTACCTGGCAGCCTCCAGACGTCCCCTGTCCCCACGGGAGTCAGAAGGTTTTTGTCCGCCCCCCACCCCCTTCGGTACAGGGGATCGAACTCAGGACCTTTCGCTTGCGAGGCAGGAGCGGCGCCACTGAGCTAAATCCCTGGCCCCAAAGGCTTTCACTGAGCCAGGCAAAGAAGGGAGAAAGTCCGCTTCCAAAATGGGAAGAGCACAGAAAAAGCGCAGAGAAAAGGCCCAGGTTCTTGCCTGCTCTTTAGGGAGGACTACATTTCCCAGGAGAGTCGACCCTGCCTCAAAGACTACACCTCCCAGAAGGCCCTGTGCAGCCACAGAGAAAACTACACTTCACAGGAGGCTCCGCGCCTGCACAGAGGCACGGGGTGGGGGGCGACCAATATGGGTCCTGCTGGAGACCTTGCCCTCACACGCCTCTGATTGGCACCCTGGCGAGTGGGGCGGGGCTGGGATCCCTGACCCAATCCGTCCCTGACGCAAGGGCTGCTGGCTCCTAGCGGAGCCGGGGTGGCCCGGTAGATAGGTCAGCGAGAGAGCTGGGAATGGGTACCTGCCGGCTTACTGTGCATTGGTGACGCTGGAAACGAGAAGAGGCCAAGAACAGAGCCGCAGGTTCGCAGGCTTGTGAAGGTCTAGAGGAGGCGCAAGTTTGAGGAGCGGACAAAGCCACCGCCAGGCCAGGCGAAAGACCAGGCGAGGAGGCCCCGGGAACCGCGCAGCCAGACCCACACGTGGGGCTCTGAGGGCCTCTCAGCGAGCTAGCCGCAGAGAGGAACCTGACTGCAGGAGGCGCCCCGTGCCAGTAGCTGCTCTAGTGTCGTCCGCTTTCCCTAGGTCCTGGTGAGCAGCGAACCAGCTGTAGACCAAGTTAACAGCCCAGATCCATTTCTCACTGTATGGGTCAGGAGACAGAAACACGTGAAAGATTTAACGGGGAGTTTGTTTGCTTGTTTGGAGACAGGATGTTACTGTGTGGCCCAGACTAGCCTTGAACTCGTGGGCTCAAGTGATCCTCCTGCCTGAGCTTCCTGAGGTCCTGGCCAACAGACATTCACCCAGCTAGTGGGGAATTTTTAATATATGAGGAATTGTGTGCTAGGAAAAAGGGGTCCAGAACTCTTGCATGTAGACATAGTGCATGCAGAAAGTAGTTTATAAGAAAAAGCTGAATTAAAAAGAACTTAGAAAGAATGTGGGGGATTTAGCTCAGTGGTTCCGCTGCCTGCCTCGAAAGCACAAGGTCCAATACCTGCTACCAAAAAAAAAAAAGAAAAAGAAAAAGCAAGTGCAAGGTCCTGAGTCTGATCCCCCGGTACCAAAAAAAAGAAAGAAAGGAAAGGCATGCGGTGTTCCCAAGAACACTGCCAAGAACAGGGAAGAAGGCTTTGACTTGGCCCTAAGGGGCTAGGTGCACACTTGGGCCTGGCCCTGTTGTTCGCACCCCACGATTGCCCTTTCTGTCCTGTCTTCCTGCTGTTGTCTTGGGGCGAGAAGGCATAGCAGGCAGAAAGTCTCCTTCAAATCTAACTTCTGTGAGGCCTGCCAGGCAGGATTTTCTCTGTGCCAAATTTGCATGTTAAAAAGAAAACATTTGTTTTATGATCTAAGTAAAAGGTGTATTCTGAAGGCATTCTCTCCTGTGCTACCAAGGACTGTATGTCCTTTCATGACAAGTCTCTGACCCAGGTCCTCCAAGGCCACATCTAGAAGTAGTCATCAGTGAGGGAGGCAAGCAAGTGTTCCTGGATGTCACCTGAGTGTCCCTGCCCTATGGAGCCAGGACAGACAAGATCCCCACCCTCCTGGGCACCATGGGGAGAGGCCAGGACTCTTCTCTGAGAGAAATGCCCCAAGACACCCAGGACCCTCGGTTCCCAGGCCCACAGTGCCTCTGGGGGGATCTTAGAGGACCCTCACAAGAAGCCCTTCCTTTCCTTAGTCTAATGAGGGGAGAGTCTGCGAGGCAGCCATCACAGCTTACATGGAGGGTGCTGTGTTTGAAGGTGCTTAGAGGGGTCAAGGGAGTGACGAGCGGCAGGGGCTAGGCAGGCAACTCATAACTAAGAAATGACAAGAGATTGGTGTTTCTAGGAGTATTGGCCTCTGGCTGGGAGAAGACTATACCTTGACTTGAGTCTAATCTCTGTCTTTGACACTTGAGGAAGTGCCAAATGTCACTGTAAGGGAGAGATGGTGCATTGAGGCCAGCTGTTACACCTGGAAAAGTGCTGTCAAGCTGGAGTCCTTGGGGAGCAGATGGCTGAGTTCAGGCCCTTAAAAGGAGCACTCAGGGTCATCTCTAGGAGCAGGCAGCTCCTGAGGCCCTGGCAGCATGTAGAGCAACTTCTTTCCCTTCTGGGTCCTTTCTTGGGTGAAGGGTGGTGGTAGGACTGGGGACACTGACTGGCCCTCAGCCCGGCCCATACTTCTGTGACACATGCCGTACAGCTTCCAGACAGGAGGAAGTTTGGGGGCCAGTTAGCAATGATAATGAGGCCTACTTGCTTGAGTTCTGGGAAGTAAAATTCAAAGCTTCTGTGAAAGGTAAACCTGGTTTGGAGAAAGTCCTGTGCCCGTGGTGGGGAGGGGAGGCCTGTGTTGTCGTTCCTGTCCCAGCCAGTGTGTTTGCCTCCGTGGGACCTTCCAGCACACTTGGGCCCTCCTGCCTGTTCTGTGCCCCTTTCCAGAGACTATGGCTGTCCTCCACCCCAGAGCTCCCACTTTCTCCAAGGTTCTCTCCCTCTCACCTCACACCACTGAAGGATGCACCCATGGCTTTGGCAAGCTATGCTTTCAGCTCACTGATGTCCCACGTGTGCATCTTTGTCCCAGACCAGCTCTCTCAGCTCTATTGCATATTCACCTGCCACTAGCACCTCCACATCCACAGAGAAGTGGGAGGGAACAGTGAGGTTGCTCGGCAGGACTCCATGGGGCCTGGAGCCTTGGTGTTGCCTACACATCTCTTCCCTTTGCTAACTTTAGTCTGTATCTGCTGGTAATAAACTAACCATGAGCAGACCGGCTGACTGGGCTTAGCTGGGTCTTCTGTGTTTGTTCTCTGACCTGTGCTGCCACATGGACCTCCTGCCTGCCCCTGGTGTACACCATGTTTGCCCTGAAGCCTGGTCTTCAACCTTACATTACTCCACTGTTGACCCCAGGTCCAGAGTCTTCTCATCAAGTCTATTTACTGCTCACTTCCTCTGCAAGGACTTTCTTGACTATCCAACCTGAGCAAGCCCTCACTTCCCAGGCCCTTTCTCACTTCTACTGGGGTATTTTCTTCCCGGCATTATCACTACCTGAATTATCTTGAGTTATTTGCTTTCTTGTTTCTCTCTTTTTCACTCTAGAGCAGACAGTCCTTGGGGTCCGAAAGGTGCCTATGTTGCTTCTTTTTCCATCCCGAGTGATGGCTAAGCCTTAGGTCAGGAATGAGGACTGGCAGCAGTCTCCTTGCTTGAGACTCTCCTACCCATGACCACCTATACAGCCTGCAGCTCTGTGCTCATAATGGGAATCTTCACTGCTCACCAGTGGCAAAATATCATCATCCTGCCTGATTAGTTTCTATTGACGTGTAACCAATTACCCCTGCAGGGGAATTTTAAGCATATTCTTTCACCACCCTGAAGCTTGGATAATTTTGGTCTATGAAATAAACTGACAAAAAACATATTAATAGAGAAAAGATTATGCACATTTATTTCATCCCTAAGCACAAGAGCCATACACAAGTGGGATGAGATGGGGCAGGATAACAGCCAAACCAAGAGATAGGCTCGGGATGTAGGAAGGGCAGTGGCACAGGATGCAGAAGACAGGCGCAGAGGGACAAGGGTTGTCCTGTTTCCCCAACAGTCTCCCAGCAACAGACCCCTGTGTTCATCTGTCTGGGCCAGATCTTTCACAGGCAGGCAGAAGGGGGGTAGACGTCAGACAGGAATGCTACCTGCATCCACTGTTGACCAGTTCAGGTGAGTGTCAATCTCTGCCACACCCTTTCAAAGCCCTCCCTGAAGCTGCAGAGATCTGCAGTTTGTCTAGCCATCTTGAAATACACCAATGATACATGGCATACTTTGGAGTCTCATACCCTAAAACTTAGAGTAACAACCATTCATCATCAGTTGCTGTGGATCAGAAATCAAAGTGTAGCTTGACCGGCTGCCCCAGGCTCAGGGGCCATCCTAGGGCTCTGACAAGATCTCTTGGCTAGGGTCCCAGTCCCACCTGAGGTAGCACCAGGGAGGTCCACCTCCACGGAGCTGTCCTGTAGTGTTGACAGGCCTGGTCATGTGGGCCTCTTGGGGCTGCCTTGGAGCAGGGTTCCCTCAGGGTGAGGGTGTGGCCATAATGTTTCTTAATGTCAAAGACAAGGTTGAATGCTGGGCTGGAAAGTGGAAATAGGGCTGAGCAGAAGTTAGAGGCTTGGTCCAAGGAGAGGCGGTCAGCCAGTCTTTTCTTCGGCCTGCAAATACAGATCTGGCCAGCAGAGGAAAGACTAGCCAAGCCAGTGACTGGGTGCAAATGACGGCTCTCTCACCAAGGCAGATGTGGCTGTGGGCAAGACAGAATTGAAGATGAGAAACAGGTTACTAAAGCAGGTGGGAATTCTGCGAGCACCTCTTCCTGCACACAGCCACTTTCTGCAGCCTGTGTCTCCTGTTAATGTATCACCTGACCGAGACCAGTCAGAGCAGTGAGAATAACAACCAAGCCAAGCTGGGGAGGCTCAGGACAAGAGGTGAGCGTCCCTGAGTCCTAGTCTCAGGTTCTTGTCCCAGCTATGTTCAGGCCCTTTTCTGGAGCCCTGTGGAGAGCTGAATGCAGCCACATGAAGGGGGAAAGGTAGGAGACAGCATTTGGAGCCACCAGATGCGTGCAGATGTCTCCCCACCAGAGTTGGCCCCTTCCTGCCCTCTATCAGCCTAACAACCCTCCCACCAGCCTGCTGTGGAGGAAATGTCCCCACCTCCTGCCTTTCTGCTCACCCCTAAAGGCCCTGAGCAACAGCCCAAGGCTTGGCTCCTGGCCCCCAGGGTGCTGCCTGCAGTGATGCCTCATGCCCAGCTTCCCCCAGATGTGTAGGCTGTGGCTCACAGTCACCAGCTCCCAGGGCCTGGCTCGCACACTGCCTCCAAGGGTCATTGCTGCTTCTCAAAGCACCGTTCCACCCTCTGGGAGTCCTGTAGTATAGGACTGGGCTCCCTGCACAGCAGTTCCAGGGAGTCTGTGGATATTAAGGAAGAGTGACAAGCTTCACTGTAACAGTGGCCAAGCTCCCAGAGTACTGGGTTATTTTCTGGAACCCCAAATTCTTGTAAAGATATGCATGTTCCAGGAAGGAAGGATATGTCGAAATTGGGTCTTGACATCTGCTCCAGACCCCTTGCCCACTCTGTGAGAGGCAGCATGGACTGTGGCTGCAGGGTGCAGATTTGCAGACCTGGCTGTTGTGCGTATCTGGGAACCAGCCTAGTTTCCAAGACCCAGCTAGGAAGGGACAGCAGGCCCAGAGGAGCATGATGAACATCGGCACTCGTATCCCTGCACAAGTGGCCGAGCCTCACAAGCCCCTCCAGGGGGACGGTGGTGTCTCCCCAAACTGTTGCCTATCCCCTCCCCTGAATTCTGAAGCCTCTGACCAGAGAAAGTAAATACAAAATAAACAAGCCAGGTGCCACTCCATGTTCACCAGAATGTAACAATCTTTATTAAAAAAATAACAGGTGTTAACAAGTATGGAGACATTAGAGGCTCCCTGCATTGCTGGTGGGAATGTAAAGTGTAAGGAAGAGTCTTTTCACAAAGTTAAGCACAGGGTGGAGGATTTAGCTCAGTGGCACCACGCCTGCCTTGCAAGTGCAAGGTCCTGAGTTCAAACCCCAGTACCAAGGGGAAAAAAAAGCACAGTCAGGCATGGTAGCACACAACTGTAATCCCAGCTACTCAGTTCACAAGTTCAAGCCCAGCCTGGGCAACTTAGAACCTGTTTCAAAGTAAAAAGAGCTGGGAATGTAAGTCAGAGGTAGACCACTTGCCTAACATGCACAATGTCCTGGATTCCATCCCAGTACCACAAAAAAAGAAAACACTTAAGCACAGAATTACATTGACCCAGATGACCCAACAGTGTCACTCTTAGGCCTATACCCAGAAGAACTGAAAATTCATGCTTAGGCAACAACTGTGGAGTTACAACAGCCAGCACAGAAGTGACCAAAAGGCCCAGGAACCAATGGACGATGAGCAAGGCGTGGCCATGCACCTGATGGAGTGTGGTTCAGCCACTCAGGGAACAAGGCTTTGACACACACTTCTGTGCAGCGGAGACCCAGGAAACATTGTGATCAATGGAAGAAGCCAGACACAAAAGGGCACATGGTACACAGTTCCATTTAGAAAAAATGTCCAGGAAAACCACTCCACAGAAACAGAAAATAGATTAGTGGTTACCAGGGCTCAAGGGAGAGGGATTACAGTGGGTAACTCAATGGATGTAGGTTTCCACTCGAGGTGATGAAAATGTGTTGGACTTAGGAACAGCTTAAGGTCGTACAACATTGCGAGTCCAAGACACCAATGAATTGTTCATTTTAACAGGGTTAACTTTATATGAACTTCATCTCAATACACTTTTGTTAGGGCTGGGATGTAGCTCAGTGGCACAGTGCCTGCCTGGCAAGCTCGAGACCCTGAGTTCAATTACTGGTGCCAAAACAAATTCTTTTTAAACCAAGTCATCTGTATCGTCCAACGCTCAGATGCTCGGTCAGTCCGCTCTGGCCTGCGTGGCAAGCCAACTCAGCAGCCCACCGGTCCAGCCACCCTCACAGAGAGGCACACGGCCCCCCTCCACCCGCAGCTGCCTTCCACTCTGTGCACACCTTCCTCTTCACCCCGTCTCCCTCACCAGGCCCCACCCCACACTACAGCAGCCCTTTCTGGCCCTTGCATGGCAGCACCTGCAGAGGGGACCCTGAAGACCTACTGTGGCTCCAGCCATGCAGCAGGGACTTCTGTGCCTGCCCTTCTGTCTCTCCGAAGCATGGTTGGGACCCTGCCTTTCTTCCTCCTTGCCTGGCACCCCAGCCCCTGCCCATCAGGCTCTCCTCTCTGCCTGATGCTGGGGTTTCTCTTGCCTAAGCCTGAGCTTGTGGGGGGGCCCTACTGCACCTTGGCGCCACCTCCAAAGCAGACCCCAGGCTCTTGAATATAGTCAGTTTCTCCCCAGCTATTCCGGACCTTGGCTTTCCCTGACTCTCTCTTCCCTTTCTTGGCGCTCTCTAGCCTCCTGGTCAGACCTCTAGGAAGAGCAGCTTGCAGGTGTCTCACTGCCCTCTGAGTAGAGGGTTCCCCCAACTTGCTAACTCTGGCCAGTGTCAAGGGTGTCCTTCACCATGCAGCCCATCCCCAGGTACCTAACCCCTCTATAGGCCTAGTGGCCAGAGGGAGCAGGTTGGGTGGAGACAGAGGTACCACTGTTCTGGCATGGTCCATTCACCAAGGCCCACCCAGCCTGCTTGGGAGGGAAGGGGTAGCCTCTCTTCAGGTGAAATTTCAGAGGGGTCTTCAAGGGAATGTGCCCAGACGTCTTCACTGAGTGTGTTGGTTCTCAGGCTCTCCCCTAGGCCCTGACTGAAGCGTAAGAGGCTGCCTCAGCTGGGTCTCGGCCATCTTGGTGGTCAGTCTCTTGGACCATGCCCCCCCACCTAAGCTCAGCCGGAGTACCCTCCCGCTGCAGAAAGTGGCTGTGTGCAGGCAGAGGCCAGCATTCCCACCTGCTTCAGTAGCCTGTTTCTTATCCTCAATTCTTTCTTGCTGAGCAAAGTGGGGGGAGCGTTCTCTAGGTCCACAAATCACAGCTCCTTCCACCTAGCATGGCTCCTGGGTCATGACAGGGAGAGACCGTTGGGAAGATGCTGGAAATTCAGCTAGCTTTCCCCATCCCACCCAGCCACAGACAGAACCCAGAGCCCCAGTTGGCTGCCATCCTTGTTGCAGAGGTTCTCAGGCCTGGAGACCAATAACCAAGCTTCAGTCCCAAGTGACCAGTCCGTCTGGGGAGCAGTCACAGTCAATAGGCAGGCTGGTCCCAAAAAGTACCCAGGAGCCTACCTAGCTTTTCCTGTCCCTGGTGAAATCTACAGTGGTTCTAAGGTTTGCCTGTCATTCTGAGCTTATCAAAAATGTTGCTGTTGGGCTAGGGATTTGGCACAGTGGTGCCTGTACCTGCCTCGCAAGCACAAGGTCCTGAGTTTGACCCTTGGTACAAAAAAAAAAAAAAAATGTTGCTGTTGCTTACAGTCTTTTTCATTAAACAGTGCTAAAAAGTCTCCTTTCTACAGTTAGAATGCCAGTGCTGTGTGACGGCCGGAGCAGCTTCACAATGAGCAAGAGGGCCTTGGTTCACTGTCTCTCACTCAGCCCCTCAAGGGTTAAGGAGAGGTAAGGGTTAGGGTTGGCTGCTGTAGTCCATTTTCTCTGTATGTGTTTGGAATTGACTCTTCCCCCAGAGACCCACAGACATCCCCTGCCCCCAAAGATCTTTGGGCCACAGACCCTCCTCACTGGCCCTGGGAATCCTGAATCTCCCCATGGCCATGGCACCTCCCTGTACAGTCTGCTTGGGAGGGAGAGGAGAGCGTGAGGGGACCAGTGGGAGCGGAGAAGAGGACAGGAGAGAGGGTAGGGCAGGTGGGGCAGTGGGTGGAGGGTGCCCCTGGCAGAGGCAAGATCTGCTGGGCTTCTCGCCAGGGCTGTGGCCAGCCCCCTGGGCTCTCAGAGCCTCTGTTTCCAGCGGGCAGTAACTGTCAGCTTCATGGTTTGTGCACAGGGTGCCAGCGGTGCATCGGTCTTGTTGGGGTGTCAGCACACTGAAAACTAGCAGGAGCTGCTGTGGTTATTGACGTGTCCTCACTGAATCCCTGTGACTGGCTGCAGAGACCCTGGGGAGAGGCAGGCGGGGTGGTGTCCTTGGTGGCTGCGACAGGCCAGAGGACCTGCCCGGGCCCCCTCCTCCTGTGCTTCCAACTCCAACAGCCACTGGGTGTGGCCACCCACAGGGTCTCAGCCAGTCCCCACGCGCACCAGCCTTGGTGCCTCCACTGAGACGGCAGGGTGAAGCTGCAGCAGTGGGTGGGGCCTCTGGATGAGTGGCCCCACCTGGGACCTGCTCCGGGCAGCTGCCAGCGGGTGGCCACCCAGATTTCCTGGATGTGCCTGGCGCCTCGGCCGTGCCGCCAGCAGCCTCCAGGGATGCCGCCTGGCTGCCTGCAGACAGCTTCACTCCAGCACCAGTGCCTCCTCCCATCACCATCCACTCTCTCAGATTCCTCAGCCATGGTACAGCCGCTGTCACACCTCCCGGGCAGGGTCACTCCTTCAAGGCTGAATCCATCTGCCCAACGTCCAGCCAGGGGATAATCTGCCTGGTCATGTGGCCCCTTCTTTGACAGCAGTGAGAGCTGAGGCTGGCTGAGCACGCTTGCTCCCTCCATGGGCAGAAGGAGCTAGGTCTCTTTCACGCTCCTAAACCCCAGGAAACCCACTTACCACACCAGAAAGGACGGGTGGGCTTGCTCCTTGGGCACCCATGCTTTCTGGCTCCAGCCTGCCAAGCCC